CTTAGATTCAGTACTAGTCCTTCTGAGCCGCCCTTCACAACATGACCTCTTAAACAGCAGTCCTCTATTACGTGGGTGGATATTGCCTCTGGAACAGGGACATCGACTAATTGCATTCTAAATAGTGGGGCTACCGCTGCTCTCACTCGGTGCGTGTACTAGTGCATGTATGACAGCGCGCGGTGTCAACAATGAGGCGCGTCCAGAAGGTAGAAGGTGCATTGGCTCACCAGTGACTTCCCAGAAGTGTGCGCCATGACGTGCTGCCAGTTGAAGCCCGTGCTATAGGCACATGGGAATAGTCACAATGACATGCCTCCATCACCTATGTCTCTTGACATCTCCGAGCTTTCGTGCCACCTCGCGGGCCAGCTCGTCGCGGCGCACCCCGCCTATGACGCGCTCTTCGACGGGTTCACACTGGCGGAGGATCGGGGGAACAAGGCAGCGCGCGAGGAGTGGGCGTGCGGAGTGCTCTTCGCAGCTGCGAAGGCGTCAAAGTGGCTCGGCTTGACAGCACACGCCGTTCTCGGGCGCGGTCTCCTGGCCGTACTTCTACCTGTGGCCGCAGCGCCCCGCAGGCCTCATCGAAACTGCGTTCGCGGAACTGGGGCGGCGGTGGCTGCCGATCCTCGATGCGTCACGCGCTCGACGAGGCGGGTGTGGACCGCGTACGAGATCCACCCGGGCGATGACCTGCACGACGGTGTCTCCTTCGAGCGGTTGGCAACCACCCCCACGCGAGCATCCTGTACGACTCGTCACACTTTGTGTTGCAGCAGCTCGACCACCTCTTGTTCATCGATATCTACCACAAGCCGATCGAGGTCTTCCATGTAAAGGATGTGGAGTTCGTACCGGATTGTAGGCAGGGCGTCTACGGGGCTACGCCTAATGGGCTGGTAAGGCGTGGCGGAGGGCAGCCCATGCGACCAGGCGGCAATCCGCGGGCCCAAGTTTAACGCACACGACAGGGAGATGCGCCACTCGATCGACGCCTTCATCGAGATGGGCGAGGGCACGATCTCCGTACCAGCACTTCCGGAACATTACGAGCTGCCCCCACATACCAGGGATTGGGACATGCCACCGGCATTATTCCTGCGCGTGGTCAAAGAGCAAGGTGGTACGTCACTTGGGCTGAGACTGAAAGTCTGCAGGCATGTCGGCTTATAACTCTTACAGGGATCCCAATCCAGGTGACGAGTGACAAGGGGACAGAGACGGGTAGACTGGCCGCAATCCAGACCATGCTGCGGTACGCTGGCAAGTTTACAACGTCTGCTACAGCTGCTGATTGATGTGCTTGATGTGCGCATTGGGTTAGCCAAACTTTCCAGCCCCATCTCGACAGCCAAATCCTACCACCACATGTATTCGTGAAGAGCACGTACAACATTACACGCGAGAGAGCCTGGCGTCCGCTCTGGGAGAAGGAGATGGCAAATGTCCTAGAGTCATGGAGGCTTGGCAAGGACGATTCAGGATATCATCCAGAAGATCCTATACACCAGTAAGTCTTCGAATCGTTGCTGAGGAGAGGCTAGGAGCTGAAGGTAACCCTTTGTGCCAAATAAGTGGCATTGCTTTGTGGCTGTGGGCGAAGATCGTTCAAGTCAGATTGGACCGCGTCCGTTATGAGCAAAATACCCACCACATTCGGAAGCAAAGGAAGGTGAGACTTCCGACAGGTGGAAAACCACAGGATTTCTATGACCATCCGGAAGACTATGGCGGGCGCAAGCAGTTGATTCAGATTCCAGATATGAGTTTGGTAGATCGGTTACTCGCAGAGTACACACCCGAGAAATTATTCCAGTTCGGATCGGACGAGACGGTGGCTTTGGCGGAGCAGCTATTCGAGGCCATCGGATGTCCCGCCCTGAGTGCATCACAAGGCTGGGCGGTGTTCAAAGCAATGATTAGTGTACTGGATGTCATGATACACTCGAGAACTTAGACATTTTACCTGATAGATATCAATCATTTCTCGTATCTTACGCAGATGGGACTTTATTGTTTGCAAATGTTTGGTTGTAGTGTTTTCTATAGTCCTCTGCGAAATCGTCTCTTCATGTTCCGCCTCTCATCATATACTCGCCCAATATTATTGTTTGCGCCGATGCTGATCCACTCGTCCTTTAGCTCTCCGTGATTCTCGCTGTCTCACTGTTGTGTGTGGTATGATGTCTCAACATGCTTTTTTGTTCATTGTGTTCTGTATGTCTATGTCTCAGTCTTTTTGTTCGCTGCGCATGCTCTGTCACCTGCGCCGTACTTGCGCTCAAACTCGGTGATAAATGGCTCGTTATTCATTACACTACTCAGTGCAAGGCGGTCAATCCTAATACAATGACGTAATTTGTAGCCTGGCAAATCCAAATGTTCCCAAGGTCTTTTGCGACGGTGAGGTGAGTGAACACCACTCATGCATCTGCGCCCATCGCCTTAAGTGTCCCATTCCTGCTTATATGAAGTGGTGCTGCGAAGCCTCAACTGGTCCGACAACGATATCGTCGGTTACCACTCCATCAGGTGCTCTGCACTTAGAGAGTAGAGATGGTCGACAGCAGACAGAGTTACGTGTTTGTAGTGCCACGCATGTCAAACAAATATATTTTTAAATAAATGCTCGTCGCCAGATAAAGGCAAGGGTTTGGGGTCCTAGAGTTAAGCGAGTCGGACTGTGAAGCGTAGGAGCATGCGTGACGGAGCAACTTGACCTGGCGGTTCTCGGCCACCGTA